ATTATTTGTTTGTGAATGTGGAATCATTTCTGGTACGTCTTCAGGACCTGTTGTTGACACTAAGCCGACCTTCTCAGGACCTCCTGAGGACTGGCGTGGTCCCCAGGAGGTCCAGCCTCGTTTCTGAGGCTCTGGTTAAAGCTGAGATTAACGTGAGGTGACATTTACTGGATGTGATTAAAGGCAGGAACATGACTTTGATTACTTTGTCTTCTGCTTTTCAACTGCAGCTGACATCCTTTGCATTCTTTTCTTTTCTTCGACTTTCCTTCTTTTTGTTTGTTTGTTTCCTCTTTCTTTTCTCATGAAACGGAATTGATTCAAGAGCTTTTCCATTGGCCACACACACTTGAGGACCAGATCGTGTCTCTCTGTGTACAGTAATCCTAATATGAGCAGCTGGAAACACCCAACAAAGTTGAAATCGACGAGCTCACATCTGTTGTTCCCTTATTGTCACAGGACACCGAGAGTCAGCCTCAGTCTTTCTGTGTCAAAGTAGGATTTGAAATGTATTATTATGGTCAACAATGTGCGTGCGCCCCGTTACAGGAAACAGTGGCCTGACCAAATACGACCATCCTTTTGTCTGACATAGTGTATGAGCAACGAGCAGAGCTTCTTCCTGCCGCTGCACACACCCAGAGAACAGAGGATACAATCTCTCTCTCTCCCCCACTCTCTCTCTCCCTCTGCCTCTCTCTGGGTTCAGTGGGATGCTGTGCGTGGATAAGTCCTAGTCCTCATCACCAACCATTACATCATCTTTATTTCCACTCAGCCCCAACAGGAATCGAGCGCTGTGTTTTAAACATTTGTGCGCTGCACTCAGCACGCAGCAGTGTCTGTCTGCAGCAGCAGCAGCAGCAGCTGAAGTCGTATCTTCATACATGACGCTGCATCATGAAGGCACATGAGCATCAGCACCATCAGCATCAGCATCAGCAGCGCTGTCAGCTGCTGGCGTTTCAATGAGGAGGGGGAGAGACGGAGAAGAGGAGAGAGGAGAGAGGAGGAGAGACGTGCACCGTCATCAGCATCTGTCCGCCAGCTCCCTTTGTGCTGCTCACCGGAGAATGTGAATGGCGAAAGATGACATGGCAGAGGTAGGAGATCTGGCAAAGCACGGAGCAGGGGAACCTCCCGGTAGCGGCGGCGGCGGCGGCAGCGGGGGCGCGGAGGCCTCCGCATCCTCTGCGTTTCCATACGAGGAGTACGAGTGTAAAATCTGCTACAATTACTTCGACCTTGACCGCCGGGCCCCCAAGATCCTCGAGTGCCTGCACACGTTCTGCGAGGAGTGTCTGAACACTCTTCACCTCCGGGAGGAGCGGCCATGGCGCATCAGCTGCCCAGTGTGCCGCCACCGCACACCGGTGCCGGACTACCGCATTCAGAACCTGCCCAACAACACCAAGGTGACGGAGGACTTCCCGCTGTACATCGACTCGGACCCGCTGCCTCAGGACGCTCTGCCGCCGTACCCCCCGCCGCTGCACCCGGCCCTCGTCGCTCTGCGCCGCGACGAAGCGTCACAGGGCGCGTCCGGCAGCAACAGCCAGGCGACGCCGTCCACCACCGTGTCCACGGCCACGACGCTGTCGCAGGACTCGGTGCGCTACGACAGCTGCCAGAGCTGCAAACGCGTGGCTCTGACCACCGGCTGCGTGTGCGTCATCTTCTCCTTCCTCTCCATGCTGGTGCTGCTCTTCATGGGCCTCATCTTTGTGCACAGCCACAGCATCCCGCCCTCACCGGCCGGACCCATTTGCCTGTCGGTGGCCAGCATCCTGGCCATGTTCTCGGTGGTGGTCACGTGGCTCATCTGCTGGCTCAAATACAGACCGGACCATGAGACTGGCCGCTCCTCTGCCACCACTAACTCCAGGAGGAACGCCTGACAGACAGAGCCGCTGTGACTGTATATGCAGCGTTTGTGCTGCGGCGGGTTTATCATGATGTGCATATACTGACAGCTGATGCTCCTGCTCCCTTTACCTTTGGAGGAAGAATTCTCTGACCCCCAGAATGGCCTTTTATCAATTTCGCAGACACCCCAAGGCCTTCGTGTTGTTTGGAGACTGGCCTATAGGTGACATTGTTGATCTCAAAGGTCCAATGTGTAAAATTCAGGTTGGATGGATTTATTGTCAAAGCTTAGCCGTAAAATAACTTTGAATTAAGAACAATTTGTACACACCCACCAGACCTGAAACATGTACTCTAGACAGGGCTTGGTTTATGGAGGCTGCCATCTTGTCCCTCCCACCCCCCATTCTTTTGAGACACAAATCAGACACAAAGAGAGTGTCCTTGTGGTTCGGAGTGGGTGCTGAAAAAAAAAAAAAACACAAGCTGAAGGGTTGTAACGAGTGCTACGGTCTTGTTACCACCCCTGTGTGTCTGGCTCACTTCAGTTGCTCTCACAGGAAGTGATCAGACAGAGAGAAGCTGCTGTTTAAAACACATGCTTTAAAACCACTATCATAGGTGGATTTGATTTATCAAAGGTTGCCACACAGTGGAAGAGTGGTTTGTGCCCCCGCCTTAGAGATCCTAATATGGTCAATCCATCTAAATTGACCATTTGTGAGTGTTGTTGTGGACCTGTGTTGTAGTGGTGAACTGACCAGGGTGTACTCCGCCCTCGTCCGATGTCCGCTGGGAGAAAGTCTCAGCTTCACCCACGGTCTTGAAAAGCAGCAGCGGTAGAAGATGAATATATCAATTTAAAAAAAAATAGCTCATAGAAACAAATATGATTGGCATCAGGATTTCTACTGATTTTTTTATAGGTATCAGGAGGAGTTTGTCAATAAAAAATTAGACAAGAACTGAACGGGCAAGAAGAGCAGACAAAAAAAAAAGCTGCAGTTCAAATGTATAAACACGGCAGCCTTAACAAAAAATAAAACTTTTTTGCAAAATCCAGACTAAAAATTAAATCTGTGGCCTTACACTGGTGTTATAGTCATTACCTAAAGATAAAATAATAAGCTATTAATAATAAGCTACTAACAGATACCGTCACCAATGACAACGTCCTTCATAAAAAGACCAACTGAGTTCTAAAGTTCTTAGAAAGGGTAGGAACCGAGTTCTAAAGTTCTTAGAAAGGGTAGGGTCTGGCTGCATTCCAAAGTCTTACCTATAGGTGGCACTAATGTTACACATTGGACCTTTAAAGGGATTGTTTGGGCTTTTTTGAGGTGAGCGTGTATAAGGTACTTATTCAGAGTCAAAAGGTTGGTTTTCAACAGCCTTAAATATCAGCAGTGGAAGGAGAAAGGAACTCTGTGGATTTGTGCAGAATCTAGAAACAGATATTAACACCAGCCAGAACCGTTGTGTTTGAACAGTTGACTGTATTTATACCATTGACATGCGGCTGATTCTCCTTAATTGTTTGCAGGAGAAGTGCACTTTAATTGTTGATCAAGGCGACCTTAATGGAACTTAATGAAACTAAGCCAGAAATTGAAAACTCGCCAAATCGGTTGACATGCATTAAACTAGTCAACGGATTCACACTTTCTTGCAGTCAAATCTCAAACATTTATAATTTGCATTTTTTTCCCCTTTTTCCGGAAAGTTTTGCAACACATTATAATACAGCGCAATGAAAACTAGGTCAGTGTGTTGTCAATTTGAACGGTACACGATTTCAGGATTGATTTGATTTAATGTGAGACAAAGACCTGTGTTAAAATATCACGTCTTTTTTTCATGCTCTTGACGTTTTGCTTATTTTAAAGTTAATATGTTTCTGCTTTTACAGGGCAGAAACACTTTCTCATTACTCTCATTTGGAATTGGAATTGCACCCCACACCTCAGTCCACCTCTGGAGTTCAGTGCATTTGCATTAACTTCAGTTTTCCAACAAAGCCATAAAACATTAATAAATATAGATCTAAACTGGAACCATAGAACTCGGTGACTAGAAACTGTTGCCAGAGCCACTGCATAGCAACAGTCAGTGAGGTGTAGACTCATAGAACAGTCTGCTTCAGATAACACTGTGGTCACAATGATTTTGTCACCTCTCGTTTCTAAAACAAACAGCATGTATGAGGATTACTGATTTACGCAGATTTGCACCCCTTCTCGCCCTGCTAGCTCGCTTACAGCTAACGGGTCAACTGCACTAAATTGAATCATATTTGGGAGCCAGCTGTATCACTGACTGACTCCACATAAGTACCAGATACGCCCTGCTTCAAAAACCCAGCACAATTTCTTTATTATTGTGCACTTGATTATGCATCTTAGTGTGTGGACCTCTGACTTGGTCCCCGCCCCCTGGTTTTGGTGTCAGCATTGATGACTGAATGTGAGTTGATTTATTTCCTCTCTTCTCTGCCTGATGATATGCCACTCACAGTATGACACCTGTCCATGGTGTTTTTCCAGTCCTCGACTGATTCGTCCAGGTTCTCTTCAGACATTTTCAGGAGACGCTCTTTTTTTCTCTGAGTCTCCTGTGTGCTCACCTGTCAAAGACCTGCGAGGTGTTACAAACCATCCACAGTATATGCTGTAAATAGTCCAGAGAGAGAGACGTGGTGGCACCGGTTACCCTCCCCCCGCCGCCCCTCAAGTCCCTGTAGGCTGTAGTTTAAAGTGCATTGTGGTACAAAAGCTATACCTCCTCTTTGCAGACAGATACAAAAGGCTAGAGCTTGTGTTGATATGAAACTCTTTTTTTTTTTAGATGTGCTTGCTTTTCAAACGCAGGGCAATAGCGCGTGCCCCGACTCTCGGTTACGCCTCTCCCCTGTCTCACCTGAGTAGAAACAAACCTTTGCTGGAAATTCTATCGAAATCATGCAACAGGCCTGACTAAGCTGACAGCACCCAGCTGAGACGTCGGCAGGGATTTTCCTCCTCCTGTCATTATTGTAACTCACTCAGCACTGAGAGAACACAGGGTTTGGGAATCAGAGCACCTTTTTATACCTGGAAACAAAAAGTCGCTTCTTTGTTTTTTTTGACACCTAGATTAAATCCAGGCTTCTGTGACATATTCAGTCTGCTTTTTAGCTACTTCCAAATGGAGTCTGCTGCCTTTCCAGTCACATTTACTGAGCATTTACTTCTACACTGAATGCTTTAACGGTTAATCGTGCAGTTGATTGGTTTGATTTTGGGGCCTTTTTTTAAAAAAAGTGAAATGGCAAATTGAGAAAAAAAACAATTGATGCTGCAATTGAATAGTTCTACTTTTGATTCTTCCATTTTCTATGACACTAACAACAACAAACTTAGACACGATGTCTCAATTGTCACAGCTCTGATGTTACATCCAGTTGGTGATATTTTGATGATGTCTTGGTCCAGTATCCAGATTATTACACAGTTAATCCTCATCAGAGCTTCTTCTTTGAATAAAGTGATATTCCAAATAAAAGCAAAACACAGTTTCTGCAAAGGAAAAAAAATTACAATAATCTATTTTTTTTAAAGCTTCAGGAGAGGCAGCCAAAGTTGCACAATGCAGATGATAATTGAATTGATTTGGACCTCAATAAAACATGTTTTATATACAGGTTAACGAACACTGAGTGGTGTTCTCCTACAACTGCGCAATGCAATCAAAAAGAAATCCTTGTCCTGAATGTTAACTGTGGAGCTTTGGTAAAGCCTGTGTTTGTAGAGCCTTATATAGTTATGCATAGAGAATCCTCTCCCCCTTCTGTGTCTGTGGTACAATGTCTAACCCTCATTAGTGACTAATGTGCTCTGGTCTGCGGAGCATGTGAATTGCACTCTGGAGTTCCTGCTCCGAGACCTTCATCACATCATTTAGTGCAGAGTTTGGGAATGACTCGGACGTCATAATGATTCCAGACAAGCCCTCACTTCTGGTGAACCCTTCCTGCACCACCGTCCCCCCACCACTAGAATCTGTCTGCCATGCTTTGCTTCTGTCATCCTGCTCAACTTTCTTCCTCCGCCTGAGATGATGCACTTTCCTTCCTCTTCTCTGACTCAAGTCGAACCTTTGACTCATGTAAGACTTTACTGTATTTATTTCAGAGGACCTATAGGTGATGTCGTTGGTTTTTATGAGAGTCCGTGGTTATTGTAGAAAACAAAGAATTACTAAATGTGTTTGCACAGGGACCTGGCTTTTTATGTGTTGTTTTACATACATAAACACATTTCAGTAATAATAAAGAAAACCATGAGAAATCACTGCTTTTTTTTAAACTGATATCAGCTGTTTTTGTCATCATTTACTGCAGAGGTAATGCCTCATGACTCGTTGAACTTGGCTCATTATGCATTTTGCTGTGCATCAAATACGCCCCCTGCTGGAAGATAAAGGACGTTGCAGGCTGTATACAGCCTTTTTTTTTTTTTTTTTAATTATAAAAGGACCTGTCCTCTCGGCTTCATTTCTCATGTAGGTCCAGTTCTATAAACATTTGCTTCCCAACCTTGATTAAAAGTAAATACTTCATTTCCTTGAAAGAGCATTGATGCTGCTAATATTACACCTCGAGCTCCGTCATATGTGTTTATTTGGTCTAACAAAGTTGCCTTTTAGTTTATATAAATAAAGCCTTTCAGCAACACGATGTTCACCTCTGAGGGTCTAAAGTCCAGTACTGACCACTCTCCATCCCATCACTTTTTAAGTATCTTACAGTGAAGCCCTTACCTTCAGTACATGTCATTTCTCGTATTACATTTTATTCCAAGCTCTCAGCAGCATTACAACAAGCCTCTGCTCCAGAGTCTTTTTTTTTTTTTTTTACAGCAGCAACACAACACTACAGCCTATTGTAATGCAGTCTTAGCTGTGTTTTCAATTAGCCACAGTTCCACTGATTAACAGGAAGTAGTTAGAGGCAAGTGTGTGCTTACAAATGAGCCATGACACGGCAGATTCATGTCACCTGTTTGTTTAAGTCACTCAATTTAATTGAATCAACAGTGAAACTTAAAAAAAAAAAAAAGGAAAAACAGACGCAATTGTTTTGGGCCATTAAAAAATAATATTAAAAATGAATATATAGCAGAGGGTGCAATGACTGATGGATGGATATTGATTTGTTGTTATTTTTACACTCACATTTTTTAAAATATAATTTATAATTTTATATTTATATTTTTTTATGCATGATGCCAATTTCTAAACCTCTATGTTTTGTGCATGCATGTTCCAGGACTGTGGCTCCCACCGGAGGAATAAAATGTTTTCAGTCCAAGTCATGAAAACAAAATCTGACTGCATCAGAATTCAAGGGCAGATTATAAAGGTAAGACTCACTTTAAAATCGTCAATTATAAACAGTAGAAGAAGTTCTCCAACAGAATGAAAAAGTTAATGTTCTACCAATTATTTCTCTACATGGTTGAACTGGAGCAACTTTTTCAAACCTTCAGCAACATTTGTCTTTTTTTTAAATATTTTTGCTCTTCACGTCTTGGTCACAGCAAGACCTGAATGTGGGTTAAGTGAACCTGTGTTTTCCTTATAGTGGGTGGTAATCCACCAGTGGGTTACAGGGATCAGTGGGCCATGTGGCATAATATTGTTACCATACGATGCTGTCTGTATTATGTTTTTGTACTTCTTCAGGTTGTGCACACTCAATGATTATTTTTTTAAACAGAGTTTAACATTAATAATTCTATTTAACGTTATGTAAAGAAAGAAAATTAAAAAAAAAACATCTTTAGGCTTGAACACGTGGAACACAAATGACGTTTATTAAAACCTAAAAATGACATTTTTTCTTGCTGAAACATTAAATCAATTCTAACTTTATTCACAGATCAGTTAAGACTTTATGTGATGCACCTTTATATATTTTTAAGTTGTACATAAACGTGCACTAATTATCTACATATGTAGTTAAATAAGTTAATAAATGTATTTTAATTTTAAAATATTTCACAAAATTAAGTCTAAAGTCACACTAAGAAATGCTTGATACAAAATGAATATAGAACTTAGTTACACGTCATCATCATCATCGTCGTCATCGTTCTTTTTTCTAGTCCTGCAGTAAACAGAAGTATAATAATAATAGATAGATAGAT